AAAAATTTACTCCCCCTTCCCTCCCTCCAGAAAATGACTTCTGTTCTGCTGATGCAAAGCTGCAGGTCCCTAGAGTACTTCAGCCGTCCATGATTTAACTCTAAACTCCAGGACATGAATGGTGATGGGAAGTAGTATTTCAAGGTCAGTTAATGAGAACCACCTTCAGGCAATGACATGCTTTCTATGAGATTCCCACATCTCAAAACGTACCTACAAGAGCCCAACACAAACCCATCAAATAAAGACAAATGAGGAAATATTAAATATCTGTCCATTTTATGCTTGACAGCTTTATTCTATTGTCTTGAAACCATCTACACTGAATGCAAAGTAATATCACTGATACTTTATTTGTCTACTATTTTAAACTTTCCAAAGTGCCTAAGAACATTAAGTTTAATAAGTTTGTTAATTAATTTATTAAGTTTATTAATTTAATAAATTTAAGTCACAAGGTCATGGCATTCTTAAGATTGTTACTTGGAGAACTAGCAAAGAACACCAAAGTTATGGTGTTGTCCATCTTTATAGCAGTCATCCAGACGTATCTGTGGCGTTTGTCAAGCTCCCCGCTGGAGAAAGCAGAGTGTGTCCTCAGAGCCATTCAAAATATCATGCAAAATAAGAGGTGCCAATGAGTGTGTGTTAGATGAGCAATGGATGCGTTCATGGAGGAACCCCGTTCTCTGAGCTCTGACCTATTCAACTGACAATTTTATATGCTCTCTGTCAGCACAAATCTCATTTTCAAAAATTATAGTCCCTCTGTACTTTCTCTTTTCCCAGGTTATTTGAAACTGCTCCTCTGAAGATATAAATATTCTATTTTTGAGAAGGTTTTTATATTCTTGTGCAACTTAACATAGAAAAATGAGCTCAGGAAGCCAGACCTGGAAAGTACCATAGTGATCATTTAATCATTTAATCTAAATATTCGCCAATGAAGAAGGAAGGAGAATATAAGTCCTGAACTTGGAGGGACACCACTTCCACCAAGTAGTCAAATATTAATTTCATTAATCATGACATTTGCAAGGCTCTGAGAAACTTAAATGTATTTATACACTCAACACATGTGTTTTGATCTCCTACTATATGCCAACCACTGTACTGGGCTGTGCAGATCCAGCCGTGGACAAAAGATATTAAATTTCTGAGCTAATGGAATTTACATTGAACAAGAATGAAGCATAGCAGAGGGAAAAAAGACAGAAACTACGGGCAACCTCATTTGAGATATTCTATGAAAATCACGTTCCTGTCGATACCCAGAGAAAATTCCCTTCCCCCATAGAATGAAAATATTTTTACTTTCTACCTAACCTACTTTTCATTTCAAATTGTAATGAACAATAGTCTTGCATTTTACTCTGTTAAAAACTGTCACCCCACAAGTCACATCACTTCTCTGCACATGACTTCTCAGCTGTAAACTGAAGGATAGACTATATGATTACTTAATTTCCTTCTACCTTTAAGACTCTTCATTCAACAGAGCTTCCTGAGGGTTTTGAATTCTTTCCCCTAGGCTTCCCAGCCCCTTACCTTCCCGTGAAGGGCTCTGAGAATTGATCCTTCAGCTTCTGTATCTAAAAGACTTACTGGCTCTTGTGGTATAACTTGTGACCCAGTGATAATGGCAGAGAGTCAGACCCATTTCCTGAAACACAGCAATCTAATGGTTTCTTTCTCTCTTTTTAGATCCGTAGATCCAAAGAGCTGACAAGATCATCAATCATTGTGCAGGAATAAACAATACTGCTAAACTTGTCAGCTTTTTGATCCTTCCCAGATCATTTTTTAGCGCAGTTCTTGGAAAAGGAAACCTTGCCAAGGCTTTTATTTTCCTTTGTGGTGTTGTATTTGCTGTGCCGAGGATAGAATATTGAGGTCATATGATTTTTAGGACTCAGAAAATCACGTGGTAATAAAAGAGGAACAAGACTAAACATAAAAGAATTTTATTTATGAGTAGTGATATAAAAATGAGAAATAAAATTCATTTTTCGAAAGAAACTTAGAAGGGAACTATCTCATGCCTATGTTAATAGATGAATTTCTTAAATAGTCTTTGGAGATGCTAAATAAAGGTTTCCCACAATGCCAAGCTTTACATTCATGTCAGGTGGAATTTCTGTTAAATGCCACAAAGTGGCCACACTTCTTCGCTTACAGAAAAGTGCTAATGTGGGCCACAGTGAAACTGATCCATGTTAGCCAGATTGTTCACTCTGGATTAGAGTCTGACTCTGAGGCAACCCCAGTATCGCCCCAGGCAGGTTTATGTACAACCAGCAAAGAACAAATTGGCTGCAGATCAGGAATACATGGCAGGTGATGTAGTTGGCAAGTAATGATAGTCTCATTCTACAAGTGGCAAGTAATCTCCCTTGCAATGGTCTTGTATCTCCTGTCCTCGTAACTAATTCCTCCCTATGCTATAAGGTTAAATGCAAGTTCATCTTCCTCTACAAAATCTTCTCAGACCACTGCAGTCCATGAAGATTGCTGTTTTGTTTGAACTAAAAGCACAACTATTTCCCTTACTTATCAATTAATCGTGTTCCATCTTGTAAAATTACATTGTCTTCTCTTGCATCCTTAATTAACTTTTAAGCGTATGCATGCCATGTCAGAAACCAGATTATGAATTACATTTTTTGAATTTTCATCCTTGAGCCTGATACCATATATTGAAGGTATTTAACTAGATTTGCTCAAGACTTAGCCTTTCTTGACACTGTCACAAAAAATATTGCGAAAAACATAATTAACTTCAAGCAAAGTTTTAAAGTATGCTGATGTATTTTCTTGACTCTATTATTTTCATTTTTCCAGAATCCACAGTATCCTCCAACTTTATCTTGTTTTTAGGCAGTGGCTTCACTTTCTTTGCTCTGATCAAGGCTTGTGCCCAGGGGAAAAATAGGCTTTAGTCAATTATATCTTAGAATGAATATTAATCTCTTGCTTTGCCCAAGACAGTTAGCAGTTTCGTCCAGTTCTACTAGTGAAATGACAGACTTGATCGCCCTTCAGAAGAGCTTCACATGAGCAAGTTTGGGGTGGGGGTGGGGAAGAGAAGAAGGCAGAATGATGGTGGTGGTGATCGACCCTAAATGAGGGCAAGTTAGGCTACTTTGGCAGAATCTCCTCTAGCAGCGCATTTGGCTCAAAGACCGGGAGCAGCAATGTCTTCAACTATAAAAGTCCTGGTAAGAGATTTAGAACCATCCAAATTCAGAACTAGTCACCGCTAGGCAGTCAATCAATGCAGACATTTTCCAAGAAGAATTTCATGTCAATAGTTGAGATATCTGTAGACTTTTATTAAGGAAGGCTGGTTGTTGATGGCTGCTAAGCATCTCTTCCTGAGCAGTGATTATACTTTGTATAGATATTTAAAAAGAAAAAGAGAACATTCATGGTCAGCAAACACTACCCTGAGAGTCATCAATGAAGAAAGCATACTATAGAGGAGGAAAGCTTTAGCACAAAAGTATGTATTGGTAGCTCTCAAAACACCTTACTTCCAAATCCATTCATTAATTAAGCAAACATATATCCATAATAAATTTAGTAGGAATTAGTAGCAGTATGGTTCAAATTTTAGAAAATTCTAATGTAAAAATATTACAGGTCTTCCAAATGATGTAATGATGCTGATTTGCTAGGTACCTGTTTAGCATCTTCATCATTATTTATCCAAAGACATGAAATCCTTTAGTTTTGACCACTGGCTAAAGTGACAAGGTAAAAAATACAGTTTTGTTTAAATTCATGAACATGTGCATCATTTTCTTATGTGTAGAAAATGATTAAAATTCTCTAGCAATTTTTAGATATGTCCATGGAATAATCCATTGTTGAAATTTAATTTTCATCACCTCACAACTCCTGAAGAGTACAATGATTTCTGGATCAGTAGAGGTGAGGGAAATATTCCTCATTCTCACACGGTAAGGAGAGAAATTTTCCCATTCTGGGAAGATCTTCATAGGCCTTCCTCCATGTAAGGATATGACAAACTCATGTCTATAACTCATGAATCAGAAAGTTGTAACAAATAGCAAATCATTTTGCTAAACTCAAGAGTGGAAACTTCACCAAGTAGGTGATGGTGTCATTCAAGTGCGTGTGATGGTAGTGTTGGTGTTACCAGTGTAGGTGAATTGGTCCTTGGCTCATCCTCACCCATGGTCACTGTAACAACAGAAAAAAAAGGCTGAGGCAGTAGAGGTTAGGGCACTGAAGAAATCACAAGTGACATTGTTCCTTCAGTCAGGAGAAATATTAGCAGAATTATGCCTTTTCATACCTCTTCTCCTTTCTCAAGGCCTGGAAAATATTCCACAGACTTGCTAAGTACAAAAGATTTGCCTTCGGAGAACAGAGGCTTTGGTTTTTCAAAACAGATTTTTAAATATTGATTTTGAAATGATTTCAAATAAATATTTTCAAAGGTTGTCATACCAGTTGTTAAATTTCTAAACTTAAAAAGGAATATTTTGTATGCATGTAGTATAAACCTCATCTTGCATGATTAGATGCAAAATATTTCCCCAGGCTGTTCTCTTCCATTACCCATTAGAATTTCAATCTCTCTCTGATGTACCTGCATCATGTTGGATGGGTTTTTCTGTTCCTGGTAACGCCTCTTCCTAGCACCATAATCCTGATCCCAAAGGGCACTGGCTTTAAAACAAAAAGCTATGACTCTTTACTTTAAGTTCTGTATTGCTGTGGCAATGGCTATTGTGGGTATCATAAAGCTTTTTGTTCCATGTTAACTGACATGTTGTAAAAGATTTGTACTGAGTGAAATAATACATATGCCCAAACTCCTGAAGCTACTCTGAACAAGTTAATTCAGAATTTGGCAGAATAGAGGCAGTTAAATTTTTTTACCTTGAAACCTAAATTTATGTTGTGTTTTGAAGGAAGATAGAGGAAAACCAATTTTAATCATAACATACTATTATTACTTTCCTACACAGGCCCACCAAGACCATCACTATGACCGATGGGGACTATGATTATCTGATCAAACTCCTGGCCCTTGGAGATTCGGGGGTGGGGAAGACGACGTTTCTTTATCGATACACAGACAATAAATTCAATCCCAAGTTCATCACAACAGTAGGAATAGACTTTCGGGAAAAACGCGTGGTGAGTTTTTAGCCATACTATTAACCTTGTTGCTGATCCCCCCATATAAAATAAAAATAAGAAGATATGTTTATTGCAATGCAAGGAGTCTGTCTTTGATCACATGAAATTCATAACCTGTCATTTTAATTTACTTTAGAATATTATTTCTTACTTTCTCAACTATAAATAACATTTTGCTTGGAAAAATATTGAGTGGTGCTATTACTTGTCTCCAAAAGTAGACAGGACAACTAAAATAAATAATCTATCGGTTTATATAGTGTGTTTTCTATGAATTCTTAAGGAATCTTTCAACACGAATTATTCAGGATCTAAAACATTAACTCTGATCTAAGTTCCTCAATAAGAACAAGTGTTCTTTTCCCTACTTGTAAGAAAGAGGTTAAAATGATGATTGGCAAATAGCTGGAACATGAGCTTTGTAAGTTCTTGCTGCATTTTTATTTATGTGTAGACTCAGCCATCAATCACTAACTTATTATGAACAGAATGTGAGACCAATCCATGCTATTTTCCAAGATGGGAGAGTTTAAGTGAGAATCACAACCACTTCCTTCTCCTATGCTAGACGCTAATGACAGGAACAAGGATATTGTGACATGTGAGACATGCAGCATAGACACATAAGCTTAGCCAGATTTACTGCCACCCAAGATATTCTTGATTGCCAACATGGCTGTGGCTTCCAGTTGATGTCACAAATCTACTCATTCCTCGAGAATTGGAGGGAAAAAAACAACAACAAAGGAAATGGTGGCTGAGCAGTTAAATCACGGTCCCTTATAATGTCCTATACCTTATCTGAAAGTCAATATTTTCTAGTATATGTAGTCTTAGCAAACTTACTTCCAACTCCCACTGGGTTTTCCTGTGCCTTCTCCCATCCTGAATGCTCCTATTGGTCAAGATATAAGTCCTTGCAAAGTTTTTCCTTTAAAACATTTTCACTAAAACCTACTTAGGGGAGCTGATTAATTATTAAAATTGTTAGGCTTTGCTTAAATAAGAAGTCAAAAAGCCATAATTCTAAAAATGTAAACTTTTCTTAAAAAAAGCCTTTGAAGAAATGGCTAGTAAAAGAAAACTTAAAATATCCCGTATAAGCTTATTGGGAAATTCTGTGGATATTTAATGGCTAAGTCATATTGAAAGTCCAATTGATAGAATTAGGTATTCAGGCATTTGTAAAGCATTTTACTGTTTTAAAAATGCCTTCACAACTGTTATTTCATTTAAGTTTGCAGTAACTTTGTAAAGTAGGAAAAGATGATGAGTCTCCATTTGCAGATAAGAAAATAAGATTCCAAAAGGTTAAATGAAGAGTTGATATTCAAACCCAGAACTTGGGTCCTAAATCTAATGTTTGCTGCCTCCGTGAGGAAATGACAGAAGGTGTCTAATTTAAGTTTGCAGCATGCCTAAATCATGCTGAAAATCATACTTGTACTTGACATTTAAAAGTGAGAGTGTATGTGACACTTCTGGAAAAAAACAGAGCAAATATTTATTCTGCACTATGAACTTTGATTATAGTAATTGAGAAAAAACATGCTGGGTGAACCCAGAGAATTTCAATGTTGACAAAATCCAAAGCAGTATCAACTGATGAAAATTGTATCTTTCAGGTTTATAACACACAGGGACCAAATGGATCATCAGGGAAAGCCTTTAAAGTACATCTTCAGCTTTGGGACACTGCAGGACAAGAGCGGTAATAGTGAACTACTTTGTTTCTAGCCACAAATAGCTTAGAAAAACTTATTTTAAAGTGAATGCTGTATGTGAACTTGCAAATCAAATGATATGCAACTCTTCTCCTGATTTCAAAATAGACATTTGTATCGAGAAATAAAAATAAATTATTTATAGTTAGTTAACCCTAACTAGCATTGTGTATTTGGTACAGATTTCAAACATCTCCAGGAAGATTTTTGTTATGCGTTGTCTTTGTGCTTTCTAGTAGGAAAAAACTTGTCCAGAATTTAACTGAATTACAGTGGGAAATTAACATTGTTACAAGTGCTACTTGAAGAGGCAGTTGAAAGAAAAGGTGTTAAGATCTTTCTCATCTCTTTCCATTCTTCCACACAGCCTCTCTGTCTCCTGCCATTTGACTGGCTTTGTTCTCTAGAATTTTGGTCACACCGTTGCTCTCCAGCTGGAATATTTTGCTCCTTTCCCACATTCTCTGATCCTCTTCTCTCACCAGGCCTGGCTCATATTTCACCTCCTCTGTGGGGCCTGTCTGAACATCACAACGGAAACAAACTCCCTCTTTCTTCTGAACTCCTAGAACAACTATTCTACCATCCCTCAAGTTACTTAATTAATTACATACCACCTTGTCATATGGCATATCTTTTGTTTTTGTCTCTAACTGCTGTTCTTTGATTTACTTGTGGCCATTTCACCCCAACAAAATTGTCAGCTTTACAGGGGCAGAGACTATGCTTGGTTTTTCAGCAGTGTCTCTGGTACAGTGTCCAAGACAAGTGATACTCAGTAGAAACTAGTGTTGATTGCTTCGAGCTGGAGGCACTATTCCATTATTTTATGAAAATATATTTCTTTGGGATCCCAGGTTTCACAGCGCTAAAGACCCCAAGCTAGTGAAGCTTTTCAATATTAAATTAAATTAAATTGGCACTAGATTGTCAGAGAAGATGTTTGGAAGACACATACCCCCCAAACTCTGCATCGCATGTCTTAGAATGTTTATGCTTATAAACACTTCAGATTTTGAAATGCGTCCAAAATGTTCTCGCTTTCACTGAGTGTAAACGCTAGGAGAGGGGGCGGGCCCTCTCTGTTAGCTTTTTTGACTGTGAATTCCATTTACACGCATCCTTCAACAACTGCTAGTTCTTCTGAAGTCATTCCTCACAAAAATCTCTGTTCATATGTCAGTTTTGTTGTCACAAAGATGTATGTTTTTATAGACCAATTTAATTCATTTTTGAAGAAGTTATGAGAAAATGTGGTTCCCATATGTCCTCGCACATGATATGTCAGTCTAGCATGATGGCAGGCTTCTCTCATCTGTCCCCTTAAGACAGCTGCTCCGTGAGGGAAATGGGGAATACTAGGGACAGTCTTAGTAACACTGAGGTTATTCATCCCTTGAAAATTTTGCATTCTGTATATATAAGATGTAGCTAAGCAACCAGATAAACAAGCCTCACACCTATACTGCATCAGGACATCCGGCAGTATAACCCATATAAGATACTGGTTATTGATAAAAGTGGCATTACAGGAAGGAGGAAAAAAATCATGCCCCTTATGTAAGCCTAAAGGATACACGACACAGCCTTAGTTCCCAGTGAGGGAGAAAGAACGGAAATATGACCCTGGCATCTATTTTTTATGGGGTCCTAGCTTTCCCCACCTTGGGGAGAGAATGAAGGTTGATGGGTGAAGCTAGAATGAAGCTGAGAACTTTCCTCTGGAGTAAGCCCTGGGAAGAATGGGGGATAGCAAGGGTAGTAGGTAGAATGGTCCAGGGTATGAGCCTGGTTCAGTGTAAGAGTGTCCTATCCATGTTGCTTTGGATGCAAAAGTGTTTGCCCCAATGAAATACATACAACAAGCATGTTTTTAAGTAACTTTGTCATGTGCTGTGGGCAATGAGAGGGGGATTAGTCAAGGTCTTGTCCTCCAGTGAGATACACATGCGCGTGCGCGCACACACACACAAACACACAGGGAGAAGACAGAGAGCAGATTATTGTGGTTGAATTAGCCACACTATTCTGGTTGAGTAGGAGACAATTTTGTGAGTACAGCTAGTCCCCAAAGAGAGAAAACCATTCAGTAAAATCACTGTAATCTCTGTGAGCTTCCAGCGACTGGTAGGAACAAATCCACAAGAAAAAACTGAGTAAAATTTTTGGTATTTCATAATCATCATGATTATGCCCTACCAAAGAAAACCTAATATGGAAATGAACAGTTGTTAAAATATCTCTTTTCCCTGCTTTGGTATTAAAAGTATCCTTCTCTGTTGAAGTCATTTAAATCTTTAATCATTTTATGCCCTCTGCTATTCTCTTTCCTTATTTCTTTCTCCTCATATGACAAACATTTAGTGAGTAAATACTATGTTCAGGGCCATGGAAATATAATGGATAGCAAGTTAAAAACACGGCTCCTTTCCTCTTGGAGCTTACAGTCTAGGGTACAGTTTGACAAATAGCAGACAGTTGCAATATATCCTTAGGACAGTAACCAGAAAACAAAGGGTTATAGGCGGATGAACCAGGAGGAGTCCATAACCCAGATGTGGGTGTTGGGAAGGCTGCTTGGGGAAGTGGTATTTCTTCTGATACCATTATATACATACTCATACACAATGTATGAGTGAGTCTTATGCAGGATAAAGGGGTAAGAGGTAAAGGAAGCATTAAGGCAAAGTTACCCGCAAAAAGAACAGCATGTGTGGAAGCCCAGGGGAGACAGTGAACTTTCTAAGAACTAAAAGAAGATCAGCATGCCTGTGGGTAGTCAAGAGATGAAGCAGGATAGATGAACAGAGGTCCATTCCTGCAGAGCCTTGACAGCTTATTAAAGAATTCAGTCATTGTCTTTAGAGCAATGCATTATCGTTAAAACATTTTTAGCAGAGGATTTATATAATCAGTGGGAAGAAATCAGGGAAGAGGAGGGTCCCAAACAAAACTGGAGACGGGAAGCCTATGGAGAAGGCTGTTGAAGTTATCCAGGTGGAAGATAATGGACTCAAAACTAGAGTGGTGGCAGGGTAGATGGACAGAAATGAGAAGGTCATGAGATATTTGTTGATTGTTTGTACAGAGCAGGTGAAGGAGAAAGAGGCTGTGACAACCAAGAGGATGGTGATGCCATTGACAGAAAGAGAAATCAGGAGGAGGGGCCAGTTTGGTTTTATACATGTGAAATTGGAGGTATGTTAGCTTCCTCCATGCAAAAATATCCAACAAGTAATGGGGTACACAGTGTGAAGGGCAGGAAAGATCCAGACCTATAAATTTGGAGTTCAACATATAGGTGATAATTGAGCTAGGGAAGTGGATGAGATTAAGTGAATGTATGTAGGGTGAGAAGGGGTCGAGAATAGAACCCCAAGGAAACCAAAGAATCTATAAATCGTCTAAACTAGGAGACCAAAAATTAGGAAGACATTTAGGAGAGGAAGTGGTATCCTTATCTATTTCAAAGTTATATGCCTTTCTAAAAACCCATGGCCAAATTCATTTCTTTATCAGTATAACCCAAGCCTTCTCTGGTGCCTGTGTATGGTCTCAGGTTTTGCCCATTTCTGACATTAAAGTGGATCTCAGCACATCTTCAATTTCCTGGAAGATGTTGGGGTGGAGAAGGGAGGAGCAAGGGAGAGAACGTCTTCACGTTGCACCTGATAGTGTATTCTTCAAAATCCTCCATTAGAGATGAGGTTCTTACTTCTCTCCCCTACTACTAAGTCCCTCTGACCTTCCCTCAGTTCCCTAATCATCTTCCTCTTCTGCCTTTCTTCAGTGTCTTCTCTCTTCCTCATGAGAAATGGATGCCAGCCTAAAGCTCGGTTTTACCCCAAAGAGGGCTTATAAAAGAGTTTCCTCACCACCGTTGTTTTTCCCTACAAAGAATCCTAGTTCCAGCTGCTAACAAGTTGTGATTTTGTACATGTAATCACGGGCATTCATTTTCAGGCTACCGTGTGCCAAGCTTTCTTCTGGGCACAGACAAGGGAGATTGAAGAATATAAGTTAAAGTCTCCATTCTAAAGTGGCTTAAATTTTAATTGTGGACCGCAAGATGCCCATGATCCAACAAGAGAAAGCCTCCAAGGGGCTGTGTAAGCAAGTGTGTGATGGAATGTTATAAACTCTGTGTGTATAAATGCTATAGAACGTAAAGCCAGGATGTGGTCTTAAAAAAAAATCTACAACCAGATTGACCCTGACCCTTCATCAGTCTTTCTGCCCACTTTCCCATTCTGTAGGATAATCCATAAGGGATGCGATGGAGATTTCATATTTGAAAGGGAAATAGTGTTGTTTGTATTGTCATCATAATACATATGTGGACTAACTTTCAGAACTATCTACTGTGCTTTCTTGGCAGATTCCGGAGCCTCACCACCGCATTTTTCAGAGACGCCATGGGTTTCTTATTAATGTTTGACCTTACCAGTCAACAGAGCTTCTTAAATGTCAGAAACTGGATGAGTAAGTGGGACCTAGAAACTTATGTTGGCCACTTTGGGACCCAACAGCTCTATTTGCTTGTTTGCCTCTCGAAATGAAACCAGATTGAGTACCACAGATTAACCCTGGGAGTCAAGAATTTAGTGTTTCCTATGTCACCTTCAAAGTGGTGGTCTTTATGTGGATCACCCAAGGTGGCTTGGAATTTTATTTTCCTTTGACACTCTTACAAGGAGCCTATGTGGCTTCATCACCACCTATATTTAAAGTCTTTATTATTGCAATTGAAAGGCCATTAATTCCACTTGTCCAGTAAGTCTTAAAAGGCTTCTTACAACTACATGAGCTACTACCTCTAACTTGGGGAGGACACAGAGAAAAACAGCAATGTTTTCTGAGAGAGTACACTGGCACCTAAAATGTGTGCCCTTGCACATGCGTTAACTCATGGGTTAATTAACTAATGGGTTAATTAGGTGAGAAACTGCTCCAGAGCAGACCAACCACATGAAGATAAGGTACAGTGTGTCAGTCAGTCAGCTCACACTAAAGTTTTACTTTTTTTGGAACAAATGTTCAAATATGAGGCAGGCTTGTATAGAAAAATCTATACCATTTAGGCATAATATGAAGTTAAAAATAGCCTAGTCAGTTATTAAAGCCAAATTGACATATGTTAGCCTAGAACAGTAGTATTTGATTTTTCCTTTGTTTTTTAATTGATGTAACACTAAAGAGAATATTTCACTGGCATTTTTTATTACAAATATGAATTTTGATCCTAATGGGATATACAAGTGGTCCTATGGGGCTGGTGATAGTCTTGTCATTTCTAGATTTGTCAGGGCTGTCTGTGGCCAGAATGCAAGTTTTTAAAAATTTGGATCATGCTCTTCTCTTGCTCAAAGTCTTGCTGGGACCTCCCATCTCACCTGAAATAAAATCTAGAGTCCTACACCCACCTTCAAGGCCATGGTGATCAGGCCTCAGACTTCTCTCTAATTCACTGTTACTCTGCCCCAGCTCCCTGGCTTCTAGCCAAACACTCTCATACTGTCCCAGGACAAAGGCACAGTCCTGCCTTGGGGCCTTTGTACTTCTGAGTCCCTTGGCCTTGGTCTCTCTCCTCCCATTTACAGTGTGTGCTTGTTCTTGCGTGTCCTTCAAGTTTTTCTTTAAACCTTATTTATCTCTTGGGAGAAGCCTTCCCTGACCACCCCATCTAAAACAGTACTCTTCATTACTTTGTATGCCCTCAATACACTTTATAGTTGTATATAAATATACACTTCCACCACCTGACATTATATTGTGTATTTGTTTACTTGTGGTTTTGACTCTCCACCGCTAGAATATGAGCTCCGTGAAAAGGCAGACTTTGTCTGCTCGTTCCATCACAGGAGCCCAAAGCCTGAATGAGTGTCTGGCACAGACTAGATGCTCAAAAAATATATATTTCTTATTATTACATATTATTTATAATTAATAACTAATGTATATAACTGTTTTAAACGTGAGTTCAACACAGTTGCTACCATGGGGAAAATATCAACAAATTCTGACTTTCTTCTTAATTTCTTCTCCAAATGAGTGTTCATCCTAGGATCTATCTCTATTTCCTTTTATTATTATATTTCTTTGTCCAAATTTTGGTGGTATTATTAGATTCTGAGGAGATAATAAGATTATTAGATTCTTTCAGAGAATGATTTGTTCATCCTTTTTCAAGGCAGATGAGACTCTTCCTTGTTTTCAAAAATTTCCTGAATGATGCTGTTAGGATTTAAGATCATTAATTGCCATGTGTAATAACACTTTAATTTCTAACACCCAAATAATCAGTGTTACAGGATAAGCCTTTGTCTTCTTTCTCTGGCCTCAGTAAGGTTGCACACAGCGTGCCTTGAGTAGACATTTAGTAGACATTAAAGTAGACATTCCATAACCTTGAAAACATAGGTTGACAGGCTTATCATTTCCTTCCTTCCTTCCTTCCTTCCCTCCTTCCTTCCTTCCCTCCTTTCCTTCTTTCCTCCTTCCCTCCTTCCCTCTCTCCCTTCCTATTTCTTCTCTCTCTCTCTCTTTGTTTTGAACAGTGTTTCCTGGAGAAAAGAGAAAAACAAGTTACCTGTCTTAAAAATCATTTCTACATGAATTTGTGGTCTTTTAAAATGTTCTGCTGTCATAGATCATCACCTTGGACTTCAAGAGATGGAAATGTAGCAGCCTCCTAAAGGAAAGAGCAAACTTGTACACTTTAAAATTATGTTCTATTATCTCCACTTATATTTGAGGAACAAATGGTATGAAGCACTATGTGCCTCTCTCAGGGCATTTCCCCAGATGTGGACGAGCACTGATAGGTGTTCATACAGGTGCTTCATATGAATTATTATCAGTCTTCACAATCTGCCATTGGTGAAGCATTATCTCCATTTTACAGATGAGGAAACTGCAGCTGAGAAGAGTTAAGTAGCTTGGCTAATATAACATAACTAGTAAGCAGCTAAGCTGGAGATGAACAATTAGATTAGGAATCTGCAGTATGAGCAGTCATTTGACATCACTTGTTTATAACTAACTTGCTAGGTCTATCTGCTTTCTTTCTAAGGCCAGCTGCAAGCAAATGCTTATTGTGAAAATCCAGACATAGTATTAATTGGCAACAAGGCAGACCTGCCAGACCAGAGGGAAGTCAACGAACGGCAAGCCCGGGAGCTGGCTGACAAATACGGGTAAGTCAGTTATACGGAAACATATCTGACCTTGCACGCTACTGCTTAGTAATGGGACGGGAACATGAGGTTGATACCAGGAGAAAATCCCTTGAGTCAAGAATGGCACATGAGTGTGAAAGATCTTCCAGAGGAAGGTGTGTGATGTTTTAAATCAATTACTTAATAATAATAGCAGCTAACATTTCCTGAATGTGCTAGCAACTGTTCCTAGACTTCAACTCATGTAACTCCTCATAACCATATATAGGAGACCTAGAGTTATCTCATTTTATATATGAGGATTTCAGAGACATAGAGATTAAGTAACTGGTGGAAGGCCACATAAGTAGTAAGTAGCAGAACTTGAATTCAACCCAGCAGTCTGAGATCAGAGCTTGGCTCTTCAATAATACACTCTACTCCCTCTCAATTAATAGCTGCAAAACTCTATGGAATAATACCTTCCATAGTCTCTATCCTAGCTGAGCTTAAAGGGCAGATTAAGTTTTAAATAAATTATTTTAAATAAAATTTAAAAACCCCATGCAATTATCAATTGACTTCCAAGGCAGACTTTGTCATTATTTTTTAAATTTAAAGCAGTTTCATCATATCTGCAAATTTTTTACCCCAGGATTTTCCCTGAGAGCTTTAAAAAGGTACGAGTCTTCTTGAAACTTTTGATTCCCAATAAATATAGACTGTATTCACATGACTATCTTATTCAGTGCATGCTTAATTTCTAAATCAGATTTCTAGATAATTGATTGGAGGGAAGTAATATTTTAATGGTAATATTGATCTCTAATTTAGGTATTTTTACCCTCTTAATTTTTTTTGAAACAGTGATAATGCCTTGGCTTCAAGTTCCTAAGTACCTTCTGTATCAATTTCCTTGCCCATAAAACTGGTTATAATCATACCAAAGAGCAGCCCACCAATTTTTACTCACTGAGGAAAACAAAGGATGCTTTCCCACTCAGCCCGCAAAAGCACGATGATTGCACAGTCTCTCAGCCAGCCCTGTTTTTGCATGTGACTCATTTGTACATCTTGTTGTATCTCTTCTGATTTCTTCCTCTCAAAAATATTTATCATCTCTTCTATGCTAGCATACCATATTTTGAAACAAGTGCAGCAACTGGCCAGAATGTGGAAAAAGCAGTGGAAACCCTTCTGGACTTAATAATGAAGCGAATGGAACAGTGTGTAGAGAAGACGCAAGTCCCCGACGCTGTCAATGGTGGAAACTCTGGAAAGCTAGATGGGGAAAAGCCAGCAGAGAAAAAATGTGCCTGCTAGATTCTACCTAGGAACTGATAATCAAGAACTCTACCCAAATATTACTTCCCAAAACGGCAACAAACCACAAAATTGTTGAGTAGACCATGCGTAATAGCATGTCTTTCTTTTTCTGGCAGAAAATCTGTTTTAAGAAACCAGAATAGTCAACAGTATTCAAAAGAATTGACCAATTGTCCCTGAGGCCCCTCCAAACAAGATCAAAGATTTCCAAATGTGATTGTACCATCATGGATGCTCAATTTGTTTTTCTTTTAAAGAAATGAGTATATATGAGAGTATACAAGAAGAAATATCAGTGAGTTTAAAATCAGAACAAAAATTACGTTGTCACATTGGGGAAAAGGATAGGCTACTAAAAGGAGAACATAGAAAGATAATTTTTTTAAAAGATTGGATTTACTTCTTATATAGAATCTGATTCATACTTTTAGATTTGCACTGGGGGAAACATATTAACTAAAAACGGATACACAATAAAGAATTCTAAGTGGTTCATTAAGAATGACATTACTATGTACACCCAAATAGGCTGTACTACAATGACTAAATTACTGGTAAGGTTATCAGAGGATAAATGTCAGACTTCTGCTAAAATGTAGGAGATTTTGTAATGATGCCATTTTTATATTCTTAATAAATGGCAGATGGACAAGAACAGGACTGTGAATGATAAAGTATAAGAAAAATGCCCTGGGAGAAAAATGAAAGTATGGGAAAATGGCATTTGGACAACTGAAATTGAATGTATCTGTTACAGATGTCTGAATGAGTTACTTAGCCAAATTTCCCTCAAGCCTATTAGAAGTTGACATTATGAATTGGGATTAAGAGTCTCCAGAGGTTTCCATTTCAAACAAAATTTTAGAAATCGGTGCAGCATTCAACTTCACATTTCATTTTTTTTGTAGCAAATGGTAATAAATAGTCACAAGGAGAAACTAAAGATTGCTGTTTATTAAATTTCTCTTTAAAAATACAGTCAAGAAAAACTATTTAGCCTTAATGGTTTTTTTTTTTAGATAAAATATGCTGGTGATATGAAACAAAAAGTGACTATTAATTATGAGTTTCTTTTTAATTTACAAAAGCACTGGAAATTCTAAATCACATTTCTCCCCTCCAACCTGTACCCACTCTTGACTTTGACTCAATAGTGAAAATACAGGTGTGTTACTCTGTAGATAACAACTTCAGAATAACCATGGATCAATTTTATGGTCACTCTGAATTTTCATGTCATTAATTACATAAAAATTGATGATACCTCATACCATATTACAATATATTTCAGATTTGTTTTCATTTTGCCTAAGACAAAATACCCATGGTTGAACTATATTTGGGGGTTGGCAGGGATGGAGCTGTATCTTATCTCACCAAAAATTTGGTTGATCGCTTTATTTCTTCACATAAAGCTGCCTTTCCTTTCTAAAAACGATCACAAACGTATTTTCTATTGGCCTATTCTTATTATCGTGTCTAAACTAATATTGCATTAGGTTTTGAACTTATTTCTGATAAACATAAGCTACTCCTATTAAACTATTATTTAAATACTTCAGTCAATTTTACCAATAACAAAGGCATCATACTTCAAGTTTTCTCTTTTTATTATGAGTATATGATTTTTCTACAGGATGGTTCCTCTTCATTTGAAATTTTGCCAAACTTCACTTTTCTATACTCTCTGCATATTTTTTTTGTTAAGTTACACACATTGGAAACCCTAAATCCCAGTCTGCCCTATAACCTCTCCCCACCAATCTCCATCTGGTATAGAATCAGTTTCAGGAACACAGATCCAAGAGATTGTCTATTTATGATGTTCTTAGGATGGACCAGACCCAGAGATGTGCCATGAACCAAGGCAATTTGGAAGCTCTGATGGAGTTAGCCCGTTGTGAATTTCTCTGTGTTAACTGCTCAGTTCCTCGATCTCTGCGGCATGATGCCACCTTCTAAGATCAATCACGGTTGGGTATTCCCTCCAATGGGATTTTTCTTTATGATATTCCTCATGACTTCAGTGCCTGTGCTGTGAGGATAGAAAGCTATTAGCTAACATCAAAGATGTTTCTTCTGGAACAAAAATGAGCAAAAACAGTATAACCATTGCTGTGGCAAAATTTGGTGAACTTTTGTGGTCATTATATCAATTTTTTCTTTGAATTCAAATTGCAATGTACCCTGTGATGTTTCCATAATGTGAATAGTTAACCTTTATAAAATCCCAGAAGTATTCCATTTTGAATATGTCTTTTGTTCTATTAATTTTCCAATTATATGATTGATTTACTTATGCCAAGATTCTGTCATTGTCAGTCATTTGACAAGCATTTATTTGGGATCTATTTAAATATCGTTATTTGATAGCTGTAGCATGAAGCAGAGGGTGATGATGCCCATAATTATAGAACTATGCCTATAAAAATAACATTTATTGAGTAACAATCTCAAGAGAAGTGAAATTTAAAACAGACAAGAAAATTAATTTAAAAGCAGATTCTACTTATAAATGCTTGATCTAAAAAAAATTTTCTCTGTCAAGTTTGATATCTGACCCCAAATTCTATGTAACCAGTACCAGAAGTCCCTTCTTTCATTATTTCAGACTTAATTATTCCATATAATTTATTTTACAATTTCAAATTGGTTTAGGGCCATGAAGTATATAGAATGCTTTAAAGAATTGCAGACCCCCTTCAACCCATAACAACATGTATTTTTAGCCAAGATGTGTTCTGTTATTTATTATCTACCAAATGCTTTAGTAAATCATATTGTATTTTGGAGAAATATTTAAAACAGACAAGAAATTCCTTTCTGATATAGAAACCATTTCTGGAGTGTTTACACTGGTTTGATGTTTACATTGCTCTAACACAGTGCCTCGGATACCTCCGTGACCAAATTTGTCTCCAACCACAAAGCTCATTTCCTATAATATCATATTATAGGAAGGCCTTGCAGAGACACAAACGCAAGTGAAAGTATTCTGATGTCTTCAGCAAAGGGTACAAGGGTGTTATTGGAATCTGGAAATGATTGCCACGATCTCCTGGTCTCCTAGCTTACTTTTCATGGATTGGGCATCACTTGAGACTCTTAACTGTGATTAGATACAAAGCTACCTTTTAACATAAAAGAAGAAAAATCCTTTGAAAGATGTATCAAAAATAGTTGAGAGAACATGTTGGTCTTGGCATAATGAGGGTAACAAGTCATGAATTCGCAGAGAAAATGCTAAATGCTGAGAATGAATCTATGGGTCTCTGCGTAAGAGTTTTTAAATTTTTGCAAGTTATCACTCTAGCCAATTTGCTATCATTTCCATATTATCAGCTATCACACTGCAAAAAATTTAAAACCAGCATTTTATAAAGTAAATATTTTATCTGTTGTTTTTAACCAGATGGGCCACTCTGTGTATCAGTGAGTGTCTTTGGTACGTTTCTAGTATAAGTTATTCTCTGCCAACCTGTACAGGTACGATGAACTGGGCAACAGTTTTAATCAACCCTTTCTTGTCTCCTTTATAAGCGAAAGAAGCTTGGCCATAGAGAAGGACACAACTACATTAAAAAATAATTTAATAACAGCCAATATATTCTTTAAATTGTAAATTGAGTCTGTTCGGAATCAACAAATTTGATGAAGCTCATATATTCTCACCAATGGAGTTAGTGCAGCAGTTAGAAAGAGAGGCGATATGTGTAATAGACACAGTGTGTAACTAGGATAGTATATGACCTGGAACCTTGTGTCCATGAAACAAGATTGTTCACTGTTTTGTATCTCTGTTCACTTAGAAAAGGGTACATATGCTTTCCTCATTGTGTACCACACTAAAACTTGAGTTTTAGTGTGGTACACACAAAATCCTCATCCATAAAGAGTTTTGGAGTTATAATCTAAAACTCAATCTGTAAAGAGATGGTATTGAAGTTTCTGGTTTCCAAAGATACCTAATAACTCTTTAAAAGGAGGATCTAAGAGCTGATGTTAGCCAAAGTTGTGTTTCACCCTCTACTATCAAGCATTAAAGCATTAAAAGAAGTCTAATATATTTGAATATTTTAGGGAAAGCTTTACCATTTTTAAATATGCAAAGATCCTGTCTATATTTGAAAAGGTTGTCTAAGAATTCGCCAGAAGCTATATTTTCTTCTTGATGTTTGACCAAGATGATATAAGCTTATTTTCTGGGGAGAGTGCTGAGCTCTTAAACATGGAAAGTAGATATAGAATAGTATCTGAGGTGAATGTTGTCTTACTGCTTTATAAATCCACAAAAATTCTTGTCCCATAAAGTAGAACTGATTAAAATCATTGTTAGATACGTAGGGAATTTTATAAACTTATTGCCTTAGAATTCTTGGGTGGAGACCTAACCACAATGCCATTGTTGAGCAAGAACTAGAGAGATTAAAAGTTGTCTAGAGTTCTTAAATACGGCAGAATATGGAGAAGGCCACACTTACAAGGTTGATTTTTAGGTAGAAAAAAAAAAGACTTAGTAACACAAAGAGTTTTTGAAACTAGATCTGTGGCAAATATTTATTCATCATTTTTAGCTACCAAGCAGAGGTTTATGCCCTTAGAACTAAGCTAATAAAAATATTTAAACACCAAATATTTCATTATTGGCATCAAAATTTGGGAAACTTAGAAACATTTTGTTTAGTCTATCTGAATCTAATTTTCTCATATATTGCACTTTGATTAGTTTTTCAAGGAGTATCACAAAGATGCTTTTCTGTGGAGCTCTTTTTACCAAGTCTATGGTTGAGATATTTTCTAAATGCATATATAGAGAGAACAAAAAACAAACAAAAACATTAGTACCAAAATAGTGAAATTATTTAAAAGGGTATCATCTTTTTTGAAGAAAAAATATAGAAAAGAATCATCTTTGGATTGAGTTATTTAAATTTGTTGCTCAGTTCCTTTTCTTTCCAACAGATCGTGGAAGTCATGGCTAATATCCTTCAACTGACTCAGTCTTGAAGGATCATTAGCAAATTCTCTAGGAGCCGGCATGTCTGTCCTTAACCTAATGGATTCTTTATTTAACCAGTGGCTGTTGTTCTTATGTCTGTTGGCACATCAAAATAGTGTCTGTCCCTAGTAAAGTAATAACATATGCTTGCCCTTACTCTTCTATTCTCCAGGTTATTTTTTCAAATGCCCTTTGAGAGAAAGTTTAGTGTTGTAGAAAGGAAAGTGACCAGAAAGAACAATTTGGGGACCATGGATACGTCTTTAAATATCTTAATGGCTTCTCCTCATATGGAGCTTATAAACCCTGTGTGTCTCACAAAGTTCATGTCAGGCACAAAGGATAACATAGATAAGAAACTGTTTTGTAAATTATGTTCCATTTCATAAACAGATACTATTATCGCAAGCTAAAAATAATAAAAAATCACAGTCATAATTTAAACCACTTGTAAAAGGCAGTGTCATAGCAGAGACAAAACACTAATTTTAGTAGAGGTGTTTGGAAGCTATAAATGGGTAGTCAACTTGAGGTCATTGTATTTGATTGAAAATGTTTAATATATCTCAAGTTATTGAAAAAATATGAGTTCGATTTCATTTTGGATGTCACCTATATTTCTTTCAAAGAGTCCAGTTACATTCTAGAAAGTATATTACAACTTGGTCAAAATCCTCCTTGTACAAATAGGGCTTGTATGTCCATAGCCTTGTAAAAGATACTGACTGCATCTGAAATTATTTAAGAAAAGTAAGTTATCCTGCTTAATGTGTTAAAAGTAGACAATGTTCTGACTTAACACTGAAGTACTTTACTGTATCCCAACGGTCTACCTTTAAGTGATATTATCTCATTTTTAGCCTAAGCACGTTTGATTGTTTTGTCTGTCATATACACAGATCTCTGTTTTCTCTAGTGCTATGAATGTAAATTAAAGCCTTGAACATGGAGTTTTTATTCTATGTGCCCCTGAATAGACTGTGGTGCCTGACAAACACTGTTAGGTCATTATTTTGTGGTACCAAAGTTCTAGTGGCTTCAGAAATCATAGCATCCAATGATTTTGTGGTGTCTGGGTTTGAATACTATGGTTGAGAATTGTATTCAGTGATTGTTTCTGCACACTTTTCAAATAAAAATGCATTTTTATCAATTATTTTGAGTACTCAAAGCAACTTTATTTCTGTGCTGAAGTTGAATGTATGGTGGATGGGGACATTAAATCAGTATCAGTGTGGAACTTGTATCACATTAAAAATGGTATCCATTAGGGACCAGGAAATAAGTGATCTGGACTTAGCAAGTGAATTTTATCCAGCCAAGTGATTTTTATCCATCTCTCTAAACTTTCTCATTTATTATTTGTTTAAAGACTGGGCTTTGCAAGAAAAATTTTCTAATGATTTTGAATGACACATTTATAAAATTAGCAATTAACATGTTGAAGTATTCTACGGTACATAAGCACCTCCACATATTATAACCTATGTCTTCCTCATAATAAAATGCTGAGGCAGGTGTTGGTATCTCCCTCTGACACAGACTGGTGCAAGGACTAGTGTTCAAGTCCAGTTCAAGACCACAATCATACAGTTTCCTTTTAAATGCTCATTTGCAAAGGCTGCCTGTTCCCAGAGTGACTCTCACTCAATATGTTACTTAGATAGGCTTCGCCAAGAGAATGATGAGTTGTTAATATAAAGATAAACAACTCATCCACTGCAGGCAAATAAATCTTTGGAATCATTCTCTCGACTTTACTCCCCAGTAGCAGTAATGTTATTTCACACAGGCAGAATCTTTTGCCCTGCCCCCGGCTTCATGTTAAATAACTCAGGATAAGTCATTAGGGACTTGCTTTTCCTAATGGTTTCATAGGA